CTAATAATATTAAATGAAGTTAGAAACTATAAATAACTTTGATATATCGATATCAAAACCTTTGTTCTTCATCCTTACTTCCAAATTAACTTTTACTTTTTGAGTTTTTCACAGTATTTCTGTTCATTTTTTCCTCCCTCAGATTTGTAGCCAGATAGAATGGCAAATCACAGCTGTGAAAGTCTTGACTGTTTATAACACAAAGAATGGAGAGATGATGCATGGAGGGGATTGTCATCATTGCAATGAGGTCAAGCTTCAACATGTGAAAATAAACTTGCTATCCTAACTCCTCTCAGGCCATACTCAGTGACTTGCTTGAGCTCTACTGACTACCTGTCAGCCAGATGGTCAATGTTTACATTTCAAGGGCTTCAGCTAGAATTGATCTGGTCTACAATCAGTCACAAGGTCCGCACATCAAAATGTTTATACAGTTTGCTTTAGAAATACTGTCTTAGTCAAGTGGTATCAGGAGAGAAGGAATTAAAGTCAGGCTAAGAATTGATGCTAAGAAAGTTTATGGTTTGATAACTCCTTGTAAATTTTCCTTCCCCCCTTTGCACTTCCCTTCGATATGAAACCATTTACCTGTGTTTGCTTTGCCAAATAAAAACCTCGCTGCTTCCCCTGCAAGCCAGGTCACACACTGCAGAATGCCATGTGACCCTATTTCGTGAAATGAAATTATTCCTTTGGTTTTAATTTCCAACAGAACATCAGTCTGCTGTTTTCACTAAGACATTACCTATATTTCCCTTACCCAGAATGTACTCAGTTCACCCAAGGTTATTAAGAATTTTTGATTTCCCTCTCTCCTCCCAAAATTGTACTAATATTTCAAAGCCCAGCTACTACTTCCAGAAAATTTTTCTGATTCCTCTAGTTGTAATTCATTACTTCCTCAATGATCCCATAGCAGGTGGTTGTTCTTTTAAAGTTTTTATTGTGAATTGAGTGATAGTTTACATGGGAGAATATCAGTTTTGCACTCATCCTATCATATTTCATTTCATTGCAATGATTACAATCCCCTCCATGCATCATCATTTGCTTCTATTCCCTCTGTGTGTGTGTGTTTTTAATTTACACAAAACCACTCAGGAATATATAATCATTTAAACAACCAAAGGATGCATTCTGCAACCCTGCCTCCCGTCCACCAGCACACAGCCTTTCTCCTTCCATGAGTCTAGAGTTCTCAGCTGCTCTAGCTCACCATGTCATCATCTCTGCCTCCATTTCTGTTGTCATTGTTTCTCTGGATAGGGTCCCACATTCCACTCATGCTCTTCTCCCTTGATGGTCCTAGGGTCCTTGCTTCCTGGAATGTAAGATTAACTACTCCCCACTTTTTGTTACAAAACTTCTACCTTTACAGTTGTGACAATCACAATTAGTCATGATAACAATTACTCACTATTGAATCATAAGAATCGTATCCCCATCTCCTTTCACCAGACCCATCTAGACAAGATGAAAATTATTCAATGGGGTTTCTACCTTCCCCTGCACACTCTGAAACTAAACTCCCTCTTGAAAACTTTTAAGCCAGCCACTTCTTACCTTTATAGACCCTGCATTTTAGGTAGCCAGTGTCTAAGTTGCCTGTCTTTATCAACCCCATATACAGAGGGGATAGGATTGGTCCTTGATGTGAAGATTCCTTCCCTCTCAGTTGGTATTTTGAGCTACTACATCCATAAGTATAGGTCACGTTCCTTAAATTGTATCCCATAGCATGTTGAACCTTATTTAATAATACGATTTCCTACATTCTGCTATTATTATTCTGTTATTTCTATGTTTGTTTATTACCATGTGTTTCCCTACCCTTAAACTCCTAGAGGACAGAGGCTACAATTAATCATTGTTTCCTTCTCTATAACTTCTCTAATCCAAGGCACATAACAAATTATAAATGCTAACCTTAATGAAGTTATTTAATTTTGAGTGGTCCTAGAAGAGCCAGCCCAAACTTCCCAAACTACACTGACCCCATTTGGGTTGAAGTTTTGCAGTAGCTTAAGACATCTATCTCCTAAATAAGTCTACAGCATCCAAAGTGACTTGGCCATTTTGCCTTTTGGCCTACAAGTGGACTAGGTCCTCAACAGAATCACTGTTATCCCAATAATTCTACCTGTCAAACTTTTGTCTCCAATAATCCCTTCTTTTATGTCTACTCCTGCCATTCTTTTCCTTTGAGACAGACGTTCTTAAAATGTGGTCCATGATCCCATGGGGTCCTCAAGGCCAGCATTTCCATACTAATGTTGTTGTTAGTTGCAATGAGGTCAAGTTGGCTTTGATTATTCATGATGACCTTATGTATATATAACACAATGAAACAATGCCCAGTCTTGTACCGTCTTTATGACTGTTGGTTTTTGAGTCCACTGTGGGCAGCTATTGTGTAGTGCCTCCATCATAGGGGACTCATCTTCCACTACAATACTAGACAATGTTCCATTAGGATCCATAAGGTTTTCACAGGCTAATTTTCAGAAGTACCATATTTTTAGACAAATAAAGTTTCCAAACCATGCAACCTCCTTGCATGTTCATTTCTTATGTGCACTACATGTATTATATGCCAAAATGTGGCAGGCCACAGGCCTTTCTTCCTAGTCTGTCTTGGTCTGGGAGTTCCACTGAAACTTGTCTACCATGGATGATCCTACTGGTATTTGAACTCTCAGTGGCATAGCTTCCAGCATCACAGCAATAAAAAAGCTACCACAGTATGACCAACTGACAGACAAGTGGTAATAGCCAGTTGCCTTTGAGTCAATTTCAACTCGTGGCAACCCCATGTGTGTAAAACTGCACTCCATAGGGTTTTCAATGGCTGCTTATTTAGAAGTAAATCAATTTCCAACCTTTCCGTTAGCAGCCAAGTACATTAACCACTTGTACTATCCAGGGGGTCTGGTAATAATACTACTGAGATATTATTTGCCTTTTTTTCTTTTACTGTGTTAACATCTGCGTCTGGAGACAATCCAGGCCCCAAAGCAGCACACTGAAGCAACAGTTGGCCTTCACTCACACTGGCATGGGTTTCCAAACTCTTGGAGAGCAGTTTTGTGCTGGAAGTAGATGAGGGTGAGAGCTGGCCACACCTTTGGTCATCAGGGAAGCTTGGGGAAAAAGAAAGAACTGCATCTTTCTGTTCGCCTATGTGAATCTGCTCTTCCAGGCCTCTTGTTGCCAAAGCTGCTCACAAGACGGTTGGTCTGCGTCTGACCAGTTGTTCACCAGCTTATCTGGTGAACCCTCTTGCCATCCCTGCTCAGCTTCTCCTCCCAACGAACACTCTATACACTTTTATAACCTTTCTTCTTAAGTTCAGGGTGCTAGAATTTTCATCTGCATCTGTTTTATTTGGTTTCTCATAGCTTTGTTATAGCAGGTCCGTGTAGTGCATTTGCCATCTTGCCAAAAATTCATGTAAAATTTCTTGGTGCAAATTTTTGACATGATAAATAATGAAAGATATAACTTACATTAAAAAAAAAGCTTTTTAGGTCCTTGGTAACTTCTAGTAGTATACAGGGGTTTTAGCATGATGTTGTCAGTTTGTCATACTGTAGCTTGCATTTTACTGTGATGCTGGAAGCTATGCCACTGGCATTTCAAATACCAGCAGGGCCACCCATGGTGGACAGGTTTCAGCAGACCTTCCAGACTAAAACTATGAGGAAAGACCTGGTGATCTTTTGAATATTAGTCAATGAATCATTCTGTTGGCTCTGGACTTGTCATCAGAAGGGATCAATCCCAGAAGGACATCAAGTTTGGCAAAGTAGAGGGCCAGTAGGGGGCGGGGTGTAGAGGGGAAGGAAGTAGACTCAGGTGAGATAGTAACACCAAAAGCCTCAATGATGACAGTAATGTTTCATTCTGTTTTTCATAAGGTTGTCATGAGTCCAAATAGATTCCAAGGCAGCTCCCTACCTACCTAAAGAGGTCCTAAAACCCAAAAGTTTGAGAACTGCTCTTCTCTACAATGCTTGCTCTCTTCTTTTCTTGCTAACCAATCCCCATGCAAAGAATTAGTTACTACATTTTGTTCAAGACTGAGCTCTTCAAAAGGAACCTGGTGAGTTAAGCTTTGGGCTGCTAACTGAAAAGACTGAGGTTTGAACCCACCAGCTGCTCTGTGGGAGATGAGGCAGTCCACTTCTGTAAAGACTTACAGCCTTGGGAACCCTATGGAGTAGTCCTCTTCTGCCCTATAGCGTCACCATGAGTGGAAGTCAACTTGAGGGCATTCATTTTGGATGTTTGGGGTTTGGACTCCACGGCACACAACAACAACAAAGTGGTTACGAATCGGGCTGCGAACCATAAAGTCAGCAGTTCAAAACTACCAGCTGCTCCGTGGGAGAAAGATGAGGCTTTCTGCTCCCGTAAAGATTCACAGCCTCGGAAACCCTGTTCAGGGTCGCTATGGGTCAGAACCTACTCAACAGGCACTTAACAACAACTCACTGCCCAATGTGTTCAGATAGCATAGTGGATTACAAGGTGAGCTGGTAACCACAAGGCTAGCAGTTCGAATCTATCAGGCACTCCACAGCAGAAAGATGAGGCCTTCTGCTCCCATATACACAACTACTCACTGCCTATTTTGTATTTCCTCTGCGGTTCCATTCTTCCTGCTTTTTTCCTTGTGCTTTCAAACCTCTGTTCTTTTGGAGGTACAGGACGAGAGGAATGAAGAGATTTGAGTACTGTTCACCTTCCAGGAGCCTCAACACCACAGTCAACATCTCTAGAGTTTGATATTTACATGCGACCTCTCGCATCAGGGGCATACGAGGGTCACCTGGAGAAGTCTAATGAGGACCAAGAAGGACCCAAAAGAAGTTTTGGAGAAGCTTCGGGGTCTTCCTAGGGGCGAAAGACTGGAAGTGCTTCTTATGATCCTGAGGACAAACGACATCACTGGGCTAGTCAAATCTATGCGAACTCTTGTCATCCTTCTCCGTCACTGGGTAAAGACGAGGTATGACCACGCCCTCTGAGCTGCCCCGCCCCATGGCTCCCTGCTCCGCCAAGCAGGAAGTTCGCGCTGCGACTGTGGCCATTTGCGACAGTGCCGGTGCTTTCCGGCCTGTGGCGCGTGTGCTGATGTGTCGGGGAGGTGGGGTCTGTGCAAGCCATCCCCCGCCCCACAGCACTTGCTGCTCTGACCCTACGGCTAACTGGTCTCCGTTGGGCCATGGCAGTGTCCGCCCGTGTTACGCGGACCATGCCCAGTTCAGGTAGACTTAGAAACTTGCCCTCGCCCTAGAGAGAGGGGCGCTGATCTCAGAGGGGCAAGAATGGAAGAACAGTCTTTTGGGACCGGGTGTTGGTGACCTTCGATGGGGGGGGGGGGGGGAGGGGGGTAGGAGGCGCTTGTAAAGAAAAGATTGTGATGTGCGGCTGTGGGTTGATACTAACATTCAGGGGCACTTTGAGATTGGAAGACTGTAATCTGGGAGGTGTACATTGAGAGGTTCTGGGGGAGGGCCCATTGGCAGGCATTTTTCCGATAGCCTGTGATCTGTGGGAGAACCCAAGTGAGTGGAAGCCCTGGAGCTAGTGTGACTATAATTTAAAGTACATACACACACAAACGTAAACATTTTCCCCATTTGTTGGTTGTAGGTAAAGTACAGAAAGACAGGGCTGGGCAAACCGCAGCGCCTAGGCAGGGCAGCCGAATGGGGAAACTCTTGGGTTTTGAGTGGACAGATTTGTCCAGCTGGCGTAGGCTGGTGACCCTACTGAATCGACCAATGGATCCTGCAAGCCTGGCGGTCTTCCGTTTTCTCTTTGGTGAGTCCAGTTTGTGGGAGAGGCTAGTTAGTTGGGGGTGGGAGATAGTCCATTTCTTGGTTACTCAGTGAATTTACTTCTCATGTCCTCAAAGCTCAAGATAAAGAAATAAAGCAAAAGGTCCTTGTGATATTTAAGATAAAACTCAGTTGTCACTTCCTACTCAGGTTTGATGGGTAGACATACGTTGATCTGAGGCTATAGGAAATAATAGCGGAAGAAGAACGCAGTCCCATTTTGCTTGTGGCTCAGTAACTACGGTAATCACTTTAGAGAAATTGTACAGAGGTGACAAGGACCAGGAACCCTCGCTAATCCAGCGTTTCCTAACACATGTATATTAAGTGCCATGGAGTCAGTTCTAACATCGACCACGTTTACAAGGAGAGGCTGGTAGGTTTGAACCACTGACCTTGTTAGCAGCTTAGCGCTTAACATACAGTGCCACCCTAGGACTTCTCTAACTCGTAGCTGACCACATATGTGCTTGAAGTGGGTTACAAATGTGCTGGGATATTACTTGCTTTACCCCAGTGATTTTCAACTGGGTGCAATCTTGATTCTAGGGCATTTGGCATTGTCTAGAGACACTTTTAGTTCTCACAACGGGGGTAGAGGGAAATCCTAGCATCTTGGCCTAATGGCTCCCTCCCTTCACTACCTTCTCAGGGCTGTTGATGGTGCTGGACATTCCCCAAGAGCGAGGACTCAGCTCCTTGGACCGTAGATACCTGGACGGACTGGAGGTGTGCCGCTTCCCCTTGCTAGATGTCCTAAGCCCACTACCACTTGACTGGATGTATCTCGTCTATACCGTAATGTTTCTAGGTGAGGCAAACTGAAGGAGAGAAGGGAATCTTGACTGAGCTGTCCAAATTAGAGAACTAGAAAGCAAGCTGGTAAATGACCAAGGTCTTGGGCTCCTCGTTTCACCTTGTGTGCTGTGACTTATACTGCTGTGTGTCATCTGGGCTGTGATTTCCATAACTTTTCTCTTCAAAATAACATTGAATTTTCATTTAGTTTTAGCTGGCGACTTTTCTTAATTCCCCCAGCATGAATGTTCCAGGGGATCTGGGCCTGTGGTGACCCCTTGACCTCTGATCCTCTTCCCCCATAAATCCCAGGGGCACTGGGCATGATGCTGGGCTTGTGTTACCGGATAAGCTGTGTATTGTTCCTGCTGCCGTACTGGTATTTGTTTCTCCTGGACAAGACGTCGTGGAACAACCACTCTTACCTGTATGGTTTGTTGGCCTTTCAACTGACGTTCATGGATGCAAACCGCTACTGGTATGAGTCTCGGGGGATAGAAGGGAGGGTTGGCTGGGTCAGGATGGTTACCAGACGTAGGGACCCCGTGAGGCCCTTGAATTTGTCCAGCAAGCATATTTTCAACCACACTCTGCTGCATGTGCTTACAAAATAAAAGTTACATTTTAATTGGGCTGGATTTGGGAGGAGAAAGAGGACAGCCAGGTTGGAGCACTTAGAATGACAAAAACCAAAATGGCTTCATTCCTGCCCCTTTATTCTTTCCATATCTCCTCAGGTTCCTTGATCTATCCACTCCCCTCTTAGAGAGCAGAATTGAAGACTAAAGCCAGATATAGCTGGTTTTAGATACTTCAAGGATGGTCCTGTGGAAGAGGGAGCAGACTTTCTCAGTGTGAATCCAGAGGGGTAGAGTTAGAACCAAGAATAGATGTTGTTGTAAGGCAGAGATCATGTGAGAGGGAGAGGTCCACCGGAACTGCTCAGCAGTGCTGTCTTGGGGCGAGGCACACACCTGTACCTGCAGCCTGGCTTGGAGGACCATCTCTAATGGGAAATGGTGAAGGAATTTGGAAACAAGGTGGCAAGTCAGATAATCTTTAAGGATTCTTCCTATTGTTAAATGAAACGCAAATATGAAGTGTCCAGTTGATACAGGAAAAAAAGAAATCTCAAGCATTGAATTCATTAGAGATTTATGTCTTAATTTAGTTTAGCTCACAAGTACCTCCCCACAAAACAACCAAACCCATTGCTGCAGAGTTAGTTCTGACTCAGCAATCCTATAAGACAGAGGAGAACTGCCCCATAGCGTTTCTAAGACTGTAATCTTCACAGAAGGAAACTGACATCTGTCTTCCATGGAGGTTTTTTGTTTCCGGAAAGATTGTCTCGTAAATCCTGTATAGGGTTATTATGGGTTGGAACTGACTTGATGGCAGTGAGTGAGTGGGTATGTGGGGGCAGAAAGAGCCCAGGTGGCACTGTGCATTAGGTGTTGGGCTGTTAACTACAAGTTTGGCAGTTCAAACCCACCAGTCACTCCTCAGGCAAAAGATGAGACTGTTTGCTTCTATAAAGATTTACAGTTTCAGAACCCCTATAAAGGGTTGTTGGTCTGAGAGGAATTAACTGGATGGTAGTGGATTTAAAAATTCTTTGTTTTAATGTAGAGGCATTGATTACCCTAAATGTCTGCTAATACAGAGGACAACCTTTCTCAACACTGAATTAGTCACTGCCATTGAGTGGATAACCACTCATAGTGATCCTACAAGGCAGAGTAGAACAGTGCATAACCACTAAGAGGTGCTGGCAGAACTTCTTAACAGAGAATGATCTGACCTAAAATGTGAGTAACCCTGACCTTGAGAGACCCTTAACCAGAGCTGGCTTCCTACCTGAGTAGACTTTTGTGTTTATCCCATTTTGTTATCTAAATAGTATTGCTGTCTCAGTGAACCAGGTTACACAAAAGTTTAAGAAAAGACATAGCCACGGAGGGCTAGAGTTGAGGGTGAAGCTCCCAGCTGATATGAAGTGAGGTCGAATGGGTATTATCTACAAGAACACCCAAACTTGTAGATAGTACCCATTCGACCTGGCCTCAATGGACTGATGATCAGAACTCGACTAGAGGAAGGTAAAAAAAAAATTTTTTTGATAAAGGAAACAAGTGTAAATTGCTACCATTTGATGAACTTGACCTATACTTATGGAGGTAGTAGCTGAAAATACTAACTGAGAGGGAAGGAGTCTTCACATCAAGTATCAATCCTGTCCTTTCTCTACACAGGGTTGATAGGAGCAGGCAACTTAGACATTGGCTACCTAAAATGGGGGTGGGTGGGGGATGGGTAATAAAGGCACGGAGTGACTGGCTTACAAGTTTTCAAGAAGGAGTTTAGTTTCAGAGTATACAGGAGAAGGTAGACTCCCCATCTTGTCTAGACAGGTCTGGTGAAAGGAGATGGGGATAAGATTCTTATGATTCAACAGTGAGTAATTGTTATCATGACTAATTGCGACTGTCACAACTATAAAGGTAGAAGTTTTATAACAAAAAGTGGGGAGTAGTTAATCTTACATTCCAGGAACAGAGGACCCTAGGACCATCAAGGGAGAAGAACACAAGTGGAATGTAGGACCTTATCCAAAGAAGCAGTGACATCAGAGACGAAGGCAGAGATGATGACATGGAGAGATAGAGCAGCTGAGGATTCCAGATTCATGGAAAGAGAAAGGCTGTGTGCTGGTGGTCAGGAGGCAGGCTTGTAGAATGTGCTCTTTGGTTGTTTAAATGATTATATATTCTTGAGTGTTAGAGGAAATAGTAGCATATACTGTTTGCTTCATGATGATGCATGGAGGAGATTGTAATCATTGCAATGAAACGATGAGTGTAAAACCAATGCCCTCCTATGTAAACTATCATTCAGTTCACACACACACACACACACACATACACACACACACACAGATTTAAAAAGAAAAAAGGTTGAGAAGCACCCAAGGGTACTTTCTGCAGCCCAGTAGAATAGATCTTTATAAGTATACGAGGGATGTCAAAAAGTTCATGGAATATGGAGTGAAAAGAGAACTTTTTGAACTCCATGAACTTTTTGAAGTCCCCTTGTAACTGTTGAATCACTAACAGCTTTTATAGTGTTGTGTACATTTCTCTCATTTCATTTTCACTGTTGTTAAGTTGTTGTTAAGTGCTGTTGAGTCAATTCTGACTCATAGTGACCCTGTACAGGGTTTCTGAGGAGCAAATGGTGGGTTTGAACTGCCACCTTATGGTTCACATTGACCTTGCAGTCCAGTGCTGATCCTGCAGTGCCACACCCGGACTCCAGTAGCCCTGTGGAATATCATGGTCCCTCCACAAAAGGCAGTTGGCTCCATGGGTGCAGTGACTCCTCAGATCACACTGCTGGCATCACGCCTAGCACAGGACAGACACTTAGTAATTATTGTTGCATGAAAG